AATGATGCAAAATGTCAGACACACATCTGCAGAAAAGGGAAGTGTCCCACAGGAAGCAAAACATTGTGAATAGGGAGAATAATCTAATTAAAAATTTAAGACACAGTATAACTCAGAAAAATGTTGGTTGGGCTGCACATTGGTAAGACTTGAAATCCTGATTTTTGTTTCAAAAGCCCTGTGAACATGAGAAGAATATGACTTTAAGAACTAAGATTCACCCCATCAGGCATTAATGGTGTCTAGAAACTATGCGAACAATCTTACTCAACATCCCTCAAGACGTTTATATCTGTCCAATGCAAAACCAAAGGGGGGAGCATGTTAATTTTCTCAGCCTTTTGATAGTGCATAGACAAGATCTCTTAGCCCCACAGAAAGCTCCAAATATATTCTCTAGGACTTCAACTGCCTTAAAATATAGACTTGCATTTATCTTGGCCACATTAACAAGATCTGTTTGACCAATACATTTATATTTATGATGACTGGGGGCAGATTATGGTTGTTAAAATTTGTCCTTGGGACATGAAAACACTCCTCTGTCATTAATACATTTTGTAATATAAACTATGATGTCAGGTCAACGTAAAGGGTAAAAACGTTCCTAAAGTATGCACACATCATTTTTTAAAGCAATTGAGCCTAATGGAATAACAAAGGTCATCATAACAAACCATTACAGCCTTGGTCTTGGCAACTCTGGCCACAGAAGAACCTCCAAGAAACAATCATCATTCCTCCAATGTTATGGCATCCAGACGACAGGAATGGCTCGCAAATGAGTCATACGGGCTCAGATCCGCGGTAGCTATGTGAGCGCTGGACGATCAATTATTCATGTGTTTACAAAAAGCTTTCCTGGTTGATGTTAACCAGAGCTGCCTGCGAAGAAGAGCTCTCCAGCTGTCCTCCGCCTTCCTGGGCCTCCGACTAACAAGCGGCTTTTAATTGCCGGGCAAGTCATCTGGAAGATGCCCCTCCCCTAGACCAAGGAAATTCAATCTGAGACTTTATTAGGTGTAAAAATATTAATCAGAAATCATATGACAACAATACTTTATTTACAATACTCCTAGCAAATCCTAAAGAGGGAGGTAGAAGTTAGACTTGACTTAGATCCCACAAGGCTCCACCAGGACTGGAGGCCAGACTATGGAAGGCACAGGTCAGGGATTGGTAGAGGGAGTAAGAGAGGAGAATGGAGAGGAAGAACCAGGGGTTGTGGGTTTCATGAGGGAGGTAAGAGGAAAAGCAATCTAGAATGCTCTATAAAGGTAAGGGAGCATGGCCGAGGGCCACCAAAGAGGAAGAGCAGTCTAGAATGCTCTGTGAGGGACCACCAAGGGTGAATGCATTAGTCTGGTCAATAGCCAAATGTGGGTGAACTTGACCCATCCTTCAAAAATGGCCTTGGAAGAAGCTGGATGAGAAGTCACTTCTCAGCCCCTTCTTTTACTTAACAACCTACAGCCTGTCCAGAAAGACAAATATGATTTAGGCAACTCCTCTCTGGGAGTAAGGCTACAGAGAATGGAAGCAGGTGGCCTCAGCAGTCCCCCACCCTCTATTTTGAGGGAGAGCAGGGTTATAATCAGAGCTGCAGCCTGGGCCTCTTCCTTTGAAGAGAGTGTGACCAGAGCAGACAGAGAGATGCTTCAGGTACATTTTTATTATCAATTCCAAGAACATTTGTAGTATTGAGCCAGATTCTTCCCCTTGCTTAAAACTGGGTCACTTTAGATGCGATTGTAACGCATCTGTATGTTTCAGAGGTGACAGAAGCAACTAATACCTGTTCTTGCTGATAGATAGAAGAAAGCACAATATAATAAAGTGCAGCCATAGGTGTGGTCCAGGCAATAGAACCCCTGGGGTAATTCTGCTTCAAGCAGTGGGAGGCAACTCCAGTTGGGAGGAGTTGCAATAGAAAGTTAAAGCTAGCAGACAGAAAGAGGGCACCCCTCCCTGGTGCATGAGGCATCCTGGAGCACTTTCATCATGTGGCATTGTTGTAGGGCCAGGACATGGGATGGTCTGGGCCCCCCTCCCTCGCCTGATCCCCCTATCCATCCAAGAAAACAGGTTTGAGAAATGAGTCCAAGGGAAAGGATTGCTTCTCCCTAAGGCCCACAACAGGAGAGCTGGTCTCCATACCACCTTTAACCTCTCAAGTTCTAGACCCATCCTTTTGCCCCTGTCAGAGGAACGAGGGGGAGGACAAAAGGAAGCATTTCAAAAGAGGCCTCCTCCTCACGGTGGGGCACTGTTGACTTCTCCAATCTTCTATGAATGTATCTCTCCTGCTAACTGGGATTCCTTGCCCCTGGTTGGAGCTCCTTCTAGAGATCAGAGGAGCATTTCTCAAAAGAGTCAAAAACAGACTTCTGGGAAGGGCGGGATTAAACACAGATGTCTTCATGTAGGTCTCTCCAAAGTCTTCAACAGGCTTTTCTGCCTTTGAAGAGGAGTGAGGCATGCAGTACTGCCCGAACTTATTGGCCCATGGAATTCTTTTTTTGAAACATCCCTCCAGGCAAACCCTCAGAAGTTCACGCACCAGTAAAACTTTGGGAAACGCAGCATTAGAGTATGATACCAACACTCTGATCTGACCTACAATCAAGGTCTGGTCTGAGAGTCACTTTTAAGTGACTCTCATATATCTGTTCTCTACCATCATGGGTTGCTTTAATTTGTCACACTCAGAGCTCTGGGGGCACCTGCCTGGAACTCAAGCCTGCCATTACTGTTGGTGACAGCCCCATAGATGGTTTCCCAAAGTCCTATTTGGCTAATCTAGCTCACCTGATCTCCACAGGTACTTTTACCAAATTGGCAGTCCTTTCATGAGCCCATCTCCCCACTCCTCCCCACTCTGCCCCTGTGAGCCTTTAAGGGAACCCACCCAGAGCCATTCCCACATCATCAGAGGTCCTTGTCAGGACCTCTGGCTTGGGGTTTGTAACTGCGACTGCAGCATGAAGTTGCCACAGAGAAGGAAACACCCACTGGGGGTGCATATTTTGGCCTGACCCCAAATGTCCATCATCCGCTGTCATAAGAAGATCTGATGGTCTATAATGGCCTACATTCCTGATCCTATATTTCAAGCGGAATTATGTGCAAATGTTCAGTATCCAAAATAAATGGGACATCAGCTTTGCCTTTGGCATTAACCAACTCATTAAATATAAAATAAACACAAGTAAATGGCTTTTAAATCTCACTGACAGAAAGTTTGGCAACTACTCTGAGATTCTAGAGGTCACTAGAATCACTCTTCAAACAGGAATCTTCCCCACACTCTGTGGAGCAGAAGCAAACTCCAGCCCAGAGAGAAGGGTGTCTGTTCACTCCCTTCCCTCTGAGGGTTGCCCTGCAATGTTAGCTACACTGGACAATGCTGGGTTCTGCTGACGTGTGGCCTTTGACATAGAGTGCGCAAGGAGAAATGGATGCTACTTCTTACAAGTGGTTAGTAGTTCAGGTCTATGGCATTCAGCTTGCTACTGGTGACAAATACCTACAAATAGCCACCAAACCTAACCTTCGGTTTCTGATCTGTCCTTAACCACTGGCTGCTCTCAGAAAGCCAATATTCACATGGTTTCCTATATCTTGCACATGGTCATTCTACCATGGATTCTCAAGGTCCCACTAGTAATGCCACTTGTCAAACCTTTTGTCTCAATCTAGCTGTAGTTTAAGCAAAAAATGTATTTATTGGGGAAGGGGAGGGTCCAGGTTATCTGGATAATTGTTTGGATTCTTCACTTCATTTCAAGTGTGCAGAAAATAAATTGCACTAATCCACCAACCAGAAAACTCACGTGCACATGCACCTCTTAGCTTAGACCTTTACTTCAGAGCTCAGCTAGATTTCAGTAATTACTGACCTTCTTATAAAACCGAAGTAAAAAACACACAGCATTTGATAAGAAGCATGTTTACTTGACAACCCTTCAAAGATGGATGTTTGCCAGGGGGCTGAGAGTGAGCATGTCCATCTTGCAGCAGACCCAGCTGTGGTCAGGCGTCAGAATTGTTGGCTTTGCCCACTCACCTCAATCAGCTTTCAAAGTCTGACTTTGTGCCAAGAAGTTATTAAGATCTGAAACTAGTCAAAGTAGCTTCCATTTATTTACAGAGAATATTTTCTATGAATTATTAAACTTCCCAATACAATCAAAGAACAAAATGGCAATTATCAGATTTTAGAGCTGCATCATTTGATCAGTAAAAATATAATTATATGTTGGGTTTAAACAAACTGACATATGCTTTCCTTTTCTCCTTTCAAAAGTTTTTAGTGGTCTATTTCACATCACACAGTCACTTTTCTCCTCCTCCACAGACTGCAGAACTGTTTCACCCTGAATTGGAGACAGAACACCCAGTCATGAGTTAAGGGGACTGGCAGGGACCCAGGAGGCCTCTGTGACTGCACAAACACCCACCTGGGCACTTTTAGGAAATCAAATGCTGAGACGTAATAGTGCCATACCCAAGAAGATCTAGGAAAAATTAATATCTGAAGTACTTCCTGGAGATCAGGTTCCTTATGCCCTTTCAAAAGCTATCCCAGAGCTTGAGGAGAAAAGTGAAGTGGCATTACAGTCTAATTTGGGGAGCTATGTAATTTTCATCGCAAGCCCAATGCACAGGAGCAACAAAACTTTCCAGAACATTCTTCTCACTCACCCAGTCTTCCTCTTTCTCTTCTCTTCCCCTGAGAAGTGGTAATGAAAGAGGTTAGTCCTCTCGGTAGATACATGGAGAAGCAGGAGAAATAATTATTCCCTTATCAGAGTTAAATAGGATGTTCTCAGAATTCGATCTTGTCATTCAAGTGACTTACTGAAGTCCTACGAAATCATCAGGACTATATTTCTTTGCTGGTACCCTGGGACACTTGAAGCATTGAGGCACAAGGAAGTCCAAAAGAGACAAAACTTGAAGATCACATATCCAAAGAAAATGCTGAGATATCAGTTCTGAAACACTGTGCTTCAAATGTTGACATTTTTTAAAGGCATCTGATATTCCAGGACATACAGTTCCCATCAGTGTCCCAGCAGGTACACAGGGTCTCCCACTTTGACTGTCCCTGGGTTTTCCAGAACAAAATACTGTCCAAAGAGAGGTGATTTTCCATATAACTTTTGTTCAGAAGGATCACACAGACGATAACTGCAATAGGAGAAAGATTATAATGAGTCACAGCCCAACAGAAGCAAGAGTTCAACCAACACAAGGCTTCTTCTCGGCCCAGGTAAGTATCCATCCCACACAGGGTCACCAAGTTGCACAGCTTGAGAGAGGACCACCTCCACCAAAGTCTAACAGAACAGTGCCTCCTTGGAGCTGGGCAGTGAACTGCCTGTCCAGTACACAACTTCAGGAGCCTAGCCAACGGCCACACTCCCACATCTTTTCTCAACACTAAAGTTCTCTTTTCCAGCAATAAGAGATTAGGTACCTGATATGTCTAGACATGCTTTATCACCTTTCTTTTCCCCAATTATCTTTGCTCTTGACTCCTCCTTGTCTGTCACTTGAACCACAGTCCTACCAGTCACCCAGGCTTGACACCCTGGAGTCAACCTCTTCACCGTTGTCCTCTCTTTCCACAGCTTGACCACAGTCACCCAGTCCTGAGGTTTTTCCTACACAACATCACATGCCTTTGTTACTTTTCCTCATTCTCACTGTCACAGTCCTGCTTCCAGCATGACCACACTATTAATAACTTCTTTTTAAATTTTTATTTTAAAGTTGTGGGGTACAATTCAGGGTTAGGTATACAAATGGTCATTATGTAGGTAAAGTTTGGGCCTCACGTTGGTCCCCACTTCACCTGGTTTGAGATCAGATACCTTTACTTATGAGGTGTGCCCCTACTCCCTCAGCAGTTTCCATTAATAACTTAACAATTAACTTTCCTCCTCATTCCCCATCCCGTTAGCACTACCCTATACTACTGTCTTAATTGTGCACTGGTCTAATCATCCCCAGGCTCAGAAGCCTTCAATGGCTCTCCAGTGCCTAAATAGTAACATTCCATCTCTCCAGCCTGTGTGCAGGGCTCGACCTGGCCTCAGCCGGCTTTTTCAAACCCACTGCCTTCTGCTCTTTATCTGCACCTATGCAGCACTGTGAGTTGCATTCTGCTGGTTCTGCAGTTCCTGTGGGATGTCCCTCTTCCGGGTCCCCATGCATTCGAATTCTGTGTCAAGGCCCAACTCAAATGTCAAATCTCCCAAGAGGGAAGCCCAAGATTCCCCAGTTAGGGCTAATTTCCCCCTCCTCAATTTTCTTACCCCTTCCAACACTCACAGTTTCTTGTTCTGAAATGTCAGAACACTAGTCTGTCTGTTCTATGAGACAGTGTCCTGGAGAACAGGAACTCTGTCTAACACCCTTGTACTGCTCACACCCAACACTGGGCCTTGTATGTCACCCATGACCCACAATTGTTTGAATGGATGAAAGTTGTTTCATGACCCACAATTGTTTGAATGGATGAATGCAGGGAGCGGACAGGTGAACAGATGTGTGGGAATAACATGACAACAGTCCCCCAACCCCTTAGCTTAGGATAGTTTTCTTTGTTTTTTATTTCATCTAACCCCAATTTTTTTTTTTTTTTTTGAGTTGGAGTCTCACTCTGTCGCCCAGACTGGAGTGCAGTGGCCGCTCCCGGCCACCGCAGTCTCGACCTGCTGGGCTCCGGCGATCCTTCCGCCTCAGCCTTCCAAGTAGCTGGAATTACAGGCATGCGCTACCACGCCCAGCTGATTTTTTTTTAATTTATTGTAGCGATGAGGTCTCGCTGCGCAGGCGGGTCTCGAACCCGCGGACTCAGCAATCCACTCACCTCAGCCTCCCAAAGGCGCGGGATTACAGGCTGAGCCACCGAGCCCGGGTCTAACCCCAATTTTACATCATTTTTATACTTAAAACGTTCTTCCACTTAGATGTAGACATGGGGAGAGTTATGGGGATGGAGAGGCGGTTCGCAGCGGACCGGCCCGCCCGCCGGGGCTTCCCTATGGCCGCAGCCCGGAGAGACTGCTGAGATGTGCCCCCCCACCCCCACCCTCCAGGCAGCGGAAAGGCTAAACGAGGTCACTAGCGACGCCGTGTGGCAAAGGGGAGGCACTGCAGGTATCTATGAATTCATATGAGCACTGAGCATTGCGCGACTGACCGAAAACACAGCACTGTTTCATACACGGATCTTCCACGATTTTTTCGTATAAATATGTGATTTTTCACATATGTATTCTGGTTGATATTAGTAAAGTACACACTTATTTTAAAACATTCGTTCTAAAATTATGGACTTCGCAGCAACTTGGATGAATGTCGAGTCTATCATACTCAGTGATCTATCACAGAAACAAAGAAGTACCACATGTTCTCTCACTCATTAGCGGACCCTGAACATTTACTATAATACTATAAGAAAGGGATTGGCAGCAGCGGAACACTGCCAGGGGAGGAAGGCACATAACATCAATAAGGGTCCCTGATCTCAAACCAGGTGAAGTGGCGACCAAAGGGAAGCCCAAACTTTACTGTATGATGACCACTTGTATACCTAAATCTGAACTGTACCCCAAATCTTTAACATAAAAAAATTAAATAACCTCCATTCTTAGTGCATTTTTTTCAATGGCTACAAAACATATAACTATTTTAATGAGAAGGAAGTCCAAGGCACTTTATTTAGGAAGTCTCCATACTTACAAGGTGTAGTGAGAATGGAAACGCTTTGTTACCTGTAAAGTGCTGTGCACCCTGGAGTGTTGCTTATTACACTACCTGCTTTACTCATCCACTGGTCAATGTCCAGGTCATGACTACAGGCAGGGTCTCTGGTCACTCGTCCCCACCAACTGGTCACCTGAGGCACAGGTCACTCCTGAGACCTCACAACCTGCTATCTCTGTGACCAGGTTAAGAATTACACAGCATGGTGAAAGCTCCCTAGAGGCGTGTATCATTGGTACCCCAGAGGCAGGCTGCTGAGCTGGTTTGGGTTAGGTTCCGTTGAAAGCAGCCTCTGAGAATGGGAAGAAGGGTCTTTAGGCTTCTCCTTCTCTCAGAAGGTGTCAAGTGTATAAACAGAGACTATCGATGACCATAACTGACATGGTCATTGGATAGAGTATTTTATCATCTACTTATAAAATCATATGTATCGCTGATGTCAGTTTACCAGAAGACATATTGCAAGTCCTGCTTTTACAAATAAAGAAGCTGAGATTTCAAGATTCTAAGCAACATGTCAGTGTCACACAATTAGTAGGTTGACAAATCCAGGCTGAGGTACAGAGTCTGTTTCCTCCCATGGCCTCTGCCCAGGCCCAGCCCAGCACAGCCTGGCATAAGTGGTTCGTGGCAAACATCATTACTGTGAAAGTATTCATGCACACAGCAAAACTTTTTCTGACAATCTATGCAGTAATTGTGCTATATTCTATTTGGAGCAAAATGTGAATCAAAAATGATGGACTCCAGCTACCTCTTAAGCTGTGGGAATCAGTGTGTATGTCACTTTTCCGAAAGAAAGAAAAGAGTAATTCCATTTTCATGTTTTTCCGTTGGCAGAATGGTCTCCACTGAGCTGCCCACTGTGAGTACTTTGCAGACAAAGGTTCTCCTGTGCCTCTTTGCTATAGGCATATTTCTTTTTCTTGCATTCCTCTGTCACCCGGGGTTCTGCCTGAGGGCGACTAAAATCAGTGGGTAAGGCTGGGCAGGCAGAAGGGTCTCCCTGCTGCGCATACACATTCCAGAAGCAACATTGGCCATGGGCACATAGAAAGAAGGCAGTGTAGCTCTGAGCAACCTGCCCAAGAGCAGAGGGGCTGTTGTTGACACCACTGTTTGCTCCCCTTCCCTTGATTTATGTGATGCGCCCAGGCCTTTCTCTTCCCGATTTATGACCACCTGTCCTGGGAAGAGCATAAATTACACACCCATGGCAATTTAAATCTCTGTAAGAGATAGGAGAAGACACCTAGGCTGGCTGCACTGTCTCCTGGGGTATTAGAAGCAATTAGAGCTGGATTGCTGGGCTGCATAAAGCCTGCAGAAGATGCGGGGGGGCAGTGTTGGCTCCTCACTTTCCTTGCCTTCCTGCCCTCGCTCAGTGTTTGAGGTTAATTATCCTCTTTCTATAAACACAGGTTCCCAATGGAAGGAGGGGGCACCGAAGAACCAGAGAAACAGCCCAAACACATGAAGTGCTTTGAGGGAGTCATTTCTGCAAACACATAAACTTTCTAAATCCAGAGGGGTATTCAATGCCAAGTAACACATTGCAAGGAGAGAGAGAACAAGATGGATATTAAATAAGCAAACAAACCTGACATCCAGTCCTCAAAGTCACCTGGCTGATTTGCACACAGAATCATCCAGGTGAGCCCTGCCTCCCTTACTTTATAAGGATGAACACCCAGGGCCACACACACACAGTTGGTATGCTGTGGGCAAAGCCAGGCCTCCTGACTCCCACTCTGAGCTCTTCCCACTGACCCACCCTGTTTTTCTCCTCCTCGTGGTTCCTCTGTGACCACAGGAAACAGGAAGATTGAATTCTGGTTTGTTCTGCTGGTGAGGAAGTGCATTTTGAAGAATTACTATAGTCTATCATTGTTGCTTCTCAAAACCCGGCTCCTCTCAGGAATGTTGCCACACACAGTGATATTTCCTCCCACTCTTTTATCATAAAAATTTTCAAACAGGCAAGCAGGTGCAGTGGCTCATGCCCATACCCAGCACTTTGGGAGGTCAAAGTGAGAGGACTGCCCGAGCCCACGGGCTTGAGATCAGCCTGAGCAACTTGGCGAGACCTCATCTCTACAACAAATCAAAAAATTAGCCGGGTGTGGTGGCACATGCCTATAGTTCCAGCCACTTGGAAAGCTGAGGTGGAAATTATCACCTGAGTCCAGCAGGTCAAGACTGCAGTAGTCATGAGCATGCCCCTACACTCCAGCCTGGGCGACAGAGTGAGACTCCAACACACACAAAAAAAAATTGTACAGAAAAATTGTACAGGGAATACCCGTTTACCAAATACTTGAATTCTACACTTAACATTTTACTATATTTCCTTTTTCACATATTTATCCATCCATCAGTCCATGGTATTTGATGTGTGGGGGGGGAGCATTTCCAAATAAGTTGCAGACATCAGGACACTTCACCTCTGAATAATTCAGCTTGTGTTCATTACCTAGAGTTAAAACGTTGTTTACGTTTTTGAAGTGAAATTTACATAAAATGAAATGCACCAATTTTAAAGATTCCATAGTATTAACTTTTAACAGAAAAGTCATTTAATGTTTTGAGTATTGAGAAATATCCCTCAAAATGATGGGATTCCCTTAGGCTGATCCGTAGTCCCCTCTTTGAATGTTCCTACAAAACATACCCAATGCTGAAGACCCTGGTAGCGATCAGCTCTTTGCTAGTCACCTCAAGGATTCCTCTAATCCCACAAACCCCTTGTCTCCTTAACTTCCCTCAAGTCACCCTGTTTGATTTCATTCCTGACAGTTCTCTTTTTCTGCCAGGTGGTGCAGACCCTTGATGATCTGTCTACATTGCTGTAGCCTAGCCCTCACACTGGGACTCAAATCCTCAGACGACAGGTACAGAGAGGTGAGGCCCAGAGCCTCCCACTTAGGGGACTTGGGCTGGCTGGGATGACGGCACTCCAGTCTAGGGCTTCAGCTTGCTCTAAGAGGGGACCAGAGAGTGGCTTCTGGGAGAGCAGAAGTGGCAGGGAGAGACTGGTGCTGATTAATTATGACAACTTAGTTTTGGGCCCAGAAAAGGCCCCGAGTTTGGTGAGAGCTGGAAGGAAGGCGAGGCAGCAGGCCTCACGTCCAGAGAGGAGTCCTGCCCCACAAAGCCCAAGTACAACCTCTGGAACGTGCTCTTTCTTGATGGTCTTGATGCAAGCAGGCCACACCTCAGCTACCTTCCTCCTCCAAGTCTTCCCGGGCTGTGCCCAACGCAGTTCCTGACTCCCCCTCCACCCCTGGCCCTCCTCTACAAGTGACTCCTGGGGACGCCAAGTCAGGACCAAAGCCGAGGGTTCAGGGACTGCAGAGATGAGACCCGACACCTTGCTTGAGACTCTGCATTCATTGTCAAAGGGACCACTTCGGGTAGGCACCATTAGTTCATTTTCAGAATTTCAGCAATTTTCTGGGTCCCAGGTACAAAGTGCTTGAATCCTAAATTGTTATCGTTATTGCTGTTTTAGCAAAAGTAACATAGGTTAATCATAGAAAGCTTAGCAACTATATATAAGAGCAACTTTTTCCATAATTCTATCACTCCTAAAAAAATTCTTCTAGAATAAAATTCTATTACTCCTAAAATAAAATACTATTTGTACTGCCACTTAAAATTTTTTCTTATGAAATGTTAAACATCAAAATAGAAAGAACAGTGCAATAAACTCCCACAGAATTATCACCCAGATTCTATGTATCAAGATTTTGACCAAAAAAAAAATTTTGACACATTTTTCATGTATTTAACTATCCCTTTTTTTTTTTGCTAAAATAATATATAAGCAGTCCCAAACATATCATTTCACTCCTACACACACACTTCAACAAGCTTCTCTAAAATATATTGACTTTTTTTATATAATCACAATACCATCATGACACCTAATAAATTTTTTGTATCATCTAATTCTCATTGCAAAAAAATGTGCCAAAATATCTAGGCAATTAAAAAAATTTTTTGGTGTATTTGAATTATGAATTCTAAATGGAAAATAAAACTATTCATGCAAGCAGAAATTCTGGTGACCAAAGAAAGCATCCAGTTATGTTTCCCAAATTCCCTAGTCATTGGGACCCTTTCACTTCAGGACTATATGATGTGGTGTTTTCGCTGCTTCCTCTTATAAATATTAGGCAACAAATATTGCTCTGTCCCAGGCACCTAACCCCAAGGAGACCCCGTCTGCCAGTCCTACCTCTTCAGTGTTTCTAGTGGCTCCTTCCTGCTCATGATGCCGGTGTCCGGGTCCACTGTGGTTAAAATGCACCTGGACACACACACACAGAGCATCGTACTGGGGACAAAGCACAGTGACCTTATCCCCCACCCCCACACCTTAGGGTCAGGAAAAAACCTTACCTGGAACAAGCCATCACCCTTTTCAGTTCCACATCACCAATAAGAAGCTCATCCCAAGAATCCTAGGAGACACAGGACAGATTCCTATGAGTACCTCCAGGCCCTGCCCTGACACACATGTGTAGGGGCCTCACAGGAGTCTTTGTGTCACTTACATCAAAGATGGCAGACTTTACCAAAGTCCTGCAAAGCCAACTAATACCCACATGTCTTCATATTCCCTCTCTCTGTCTTTGATATGTCCATTCATTCATCATTCATCTGAGATGAAGCATTCTTTCTCCTCTCACTTGTTGTTGTTTTTTTGGTTTTGGTTTTTTTTTAGTTGGAGTCTCATTCTGCCGCCCAGACTGGAGTGCAGTGACCGCTCCCAGCCACCACAGCCTTGAGCTGCTGGGCTCCTGTGATCCTTCCGCCTCAGCCTTCCAGGTAACCGGAACTACAGGCGCGCACTACCACGCTTGGCTAATTTTTGTATTTATTGTAGAGATGAGGTCTCGCCAAGTTGCCTAGGTGGGTCTCGAACCCGCGGGCTCAGGCAATCCCCTCACCTGAGCCTCCCAGAGGCATGGGATTACAGGCTGAGCCACCGAGCCTGGCTCCTCTCACTTGTTAAACTGTCATGGAAACGCCTCTTTTAGGAATCCTCCCTGACCCATCCCACTTGACTCCTGGCAGGGACAAGGGTGGGAAGAGCCAGTGGGTGAAAGGAGTGGGAGAAATGGAGAGGGATGATTTCTCATGGCTTTGGGTTGTATCCGATCCCCTTGTGTCTGCCCAAGGTTCCCTGAATCATGACCCTTAAGTCATTGAGCATGTATCTCCCCTAGCCAGGTCTGAACAACCCAAGAGCAGAACCAGTAGCCTTATTTCCCTTTGGTCTTTGCCCAAGCTCATCAGGGACTTGACTATAGGCTGGGACAAGTAAAATCAGTGGACTGAGCCCCTCAAATCCAGCAGGGGAGAAAGGACCTATATCTACGAAAAGCTAAAGATGAATATTCTTTTTAAAAGGACCATAAAATTTGAGAAAAAGCATGCTAAGACAGCATACATCATGTCAGCTTCACTGTGAAGGCAATAATCATTTTGGGAGTATAGGGGAACGAATCTTCAGATTGGTCTGGTCCAGTTTTATGGAGTAGGTGAGATGGGAACTGAGTCTCAAAGGGCAGAGATTTTGAGAGGCACAAAAGAAAAGTGAGGGGACTCCAGGTAGAGGGGCCAATAAGAAAGAAAAGCACAGAGGAGATAAAGGACCTCTGATTGTAGTCCTGACTCTCTTACCCTCCGAGAGGAGCGCCTGCCACCTCAGAGGCTAAAAGCAAAGATCTGTGAGTTGCCAGGAATTTGCCCTGTCCTCTGCTGATCGTGAGCTGACAGACTTCCAGACTCAGAACTTTAATTCTGACGTTGTGTACTATTCTTGGTGCACATATCGCAGAGGTTTCACTTAGTCTTAAATCATAAAATGAGTCTCAAGTGCATATATCTCAACAATCCAGAAAACCAGGCACAGCGGATTAAAGCAGCCACAGCTGTCCTGTCCTGTGAACATTTTCCCACTAGGGGGCACTGTGGTCATTAAAAAAACATTAAAAAGTACAAAAGGAGAGAAGGGAGAGTTTCCGTTAGGGGGTCAAGTTATTGTTAATTAGAGAATATATCCAGATCCCCTTCTATGTGCAACAAAAACCATTAGGAATTGAGTCACAGGTAAATAAAGTAGAAAATCCACCACAAGGAAAGTTTTATTTAGCAAAAGGGAGGAAAAAGAAAATTACTATCTGTTGAACTCAAACAAGGGCCTGGAACTATGAGAAAAGCCCACGCATGTCTTCCTAGCAGGACACACTATCTGGGGGTGCTGGGGTGGGAGCACAAAAGTCTGAGTTTGCTGTCAGCAGATGGCCAGAGGGAGGCCAGGGCTGGACATCTGGGAAGGACCTTGCATGGATAATAGACAGGGGGCAGTGTGCTCACAAGGAAGGTAAACAGAGAGAAAAGGGTGAAGACCAGAACCTTCAGAAGCCCCTACCTTGAGGAAGGAACAGAAGGACAAACAGCACAGAAGCAGAGGCAGTGCAGCTTAAGAGAGAAAAGTTCCCAGAAATAGTGTCCATCTGTCTAAAGTGCAGGGAGATAATGACTGAGAAAAGGTCACCTGATGTGGCAAGGGGTTGGGAAAAGTACAGATGTCCCTTCTGTGGCTTTGTGTAAAAGGTTTAAGAACTGAGGGTTGCTGATGATGGGCATGGAGGGAGGCAGAGAAGGACACAGTTGCTGCGAGGGTAGGTTCTGAGATGACGTGTGAGTCTGCTTTCCGGAAGCTTCTATGTAAATCTTCAGCCCAGACTTCCTCCTGGCTGACCATGCTAGTCTGCTCTCCCTACCTGCATCCTGGCCCCACCAGCTATACTCCTTTTCCAGACTCCTGCCAGAGGCAAATGTGTACCATGCAAATCATTCTATCACTCCCTGACCTAAAATTCTCTCCAGACACCCCAAAACCAGACACCAGGGTCCTGTGCTCTCAGCTCCCCTCCTCTCCTGAACCCCTGTGCTGATAGATGGCAGTTATTTAGTGCCTCTATAGCCCTGTAGATGTCCTCTCTTCCTCAAAACTTTTCCTGATGCTTCTCAGTGCTGTCAATCTCTACCCATTCATTCATTGAACAAATAGTCGGTGGACACTTTCTATGTGCTAAGTGCTCTCCTAGGAGCTGAAGCTACAGCAGTCCCTGTCTTCAAGGACCTTTCACAGGGAAAACAGACATACATAAATACTGGAGGAAGCACAGTGTGTCAGGTGGGGGCATGTGCTGTGGGGGACAGGGCATGTAAGAGGGTCAGCAGAGGCCTCAGCAGGGAACTGAACGAGACAAGGGGTGAGCCTGGCAGACATATGAGGGAGGGCACTCCAGGCAGAAGTCAGTCAGGGTACAGGTCCTGGGGTGGGGAGGAGGCCAGTGTGGCTGAGGCAGAGTGAGACGGAAGTGGGAGTAAGAGGAGATGAGACCAGGGAGCTGGCAGGGCACCGGGTCACATCATGCCTAGATAGCCATTATAAGTATCCAATCTTTTACCTGATGAAAGCTGGAGAACTGTGAGAGGGTTTTGAGCAGAAGAATCACGTGAGTGACTTACATCTACAAGGTTCCTTTGACCAATGTGTTGAGAACAGACATGGATGGTGGCAGGGCAGGGGCAGGGGCAGGAAGACCAGTGAAGAGAGGCTGAGGCAACAGATAGTAGGCGAACTGGTGGGGCCTGGGTCTAGGGAGAGTGGAGGAGGGGAAGAAGGCTCGACCATCAAGATCTGCCAATCCTGTGAATGTAGAAAGTGAGAGAAAGGAAAGGCAAAGGGTAGTTTCAAGTCTGGGGCCTGAGTCAGCAGCAGTCAGAGCTGCCAGGTGCTGAGATGGGGAGGCTGGGCAGGCAGGCTTTGGAATGGAAACTCAACCCTCAGCTTCAAACAAGTGAGGGTGGATTAGACATCAACCTGAAGATACGGAGAAGGCAGTGGAGAGTTATGGTGTAAGGGGGTTCTCAGGGTAAAGAAGGTTTTGAAAAACATAGACCAGAGGCATGAGTGTAGACAGATGAAAAAAGGCGCTTCGACCTTGAGTTCACACCTCTCTGCATGAACAACATTCCTATGGGTATTTGCTCCTCATCTTCCTGGCCTTCTCTCCCTAGGCTGGAACTCTTTGTTCGCTATCTGACCACCCTAGACTTTGAGGTACTTAGGGAAGCAATTGTGTTTCTTCAATCCTTGTTCTACATGTCTGTTCATAGTACACAGAACACAGAGGCACTAACTCACTATGTAAGGAGTGAATTATTGAAAACAAGACCAACTCAGCCACCACTGTGGCTTGTATTAACCATCAACTTAAAATACAAAAGTTCTCAATTAGGATACACTTGGAGATACAGAGGGATAAAGGTTTCTGGAATAAGATCCAATTCAAAGAAATCTCCATCTGAAGTCCTCCTCTGGGCCATCTCCTCACCTCTCATCTCATCTACATCTTACCATCACAGAACTTTGGAGTGGAAAATGTCTTCAATATAACCCTCGGCACAAGGATTACATGGGCATGGGGTGGGGAAACCTGAAAGTTGAGTGAAGTCGGGAAGAAAGCTGCTGTCTGAGCCAAGCTCCTTTACTCTGACTATATCAATGAAACCCTTTCCTTCCCCTCTACGATGCTTGAGGTCTTAGAACTTTCCCACAAAGTGTTATCAACCTTGATTCCCACTGCTCCCATCAGTGGAGGGGCCTGTTGAAATTAGCCACATTTCACAGCTGCAAGAGGCAGAGGTCTCAAGGGGTTCAATGACCTTTCCAGGTTGTATGGTCACCACTGAAGCAGGTGGATTAGAATTCAAGTGTTCTAACCCCATGCATGTCCCCTAGAGTTCTGAGGATTCCTCTGGCCGTGTAGAACGATCTGGGTTCAAAGCCCAGCTCCTCCATGCTTTGTATGGTACAGCCTCAGACAAACCATTTCACCTTCCCAGGCCTCTCCCTTCTCCCCTGCACAATGGAAATGAGAACTTTTACCTCACTGGGCTTCTGTGAGGAATAAAAGAGACAACATATGTAAAGCACACTACAAGCCTTGGGTAAAAACCCTCCCCCATTTCTCTTTTTTCTGAAAAGGAAAAACCTGGGGACAAATGGTTCTCCTGGCCACAGATAGTGCAAGATGAGCATCAATCAGAAGGTCAAAGGCAGCCAAGCACTGGGTTTTTTTCTCTGTTGTAACTCAGGCTGGCCTATGGTAGACATGAGCAAGGACAGGAAGAGCACCCTTGTCACAAAGGAGCATGGAGGGGACAGCCCAAACCTGGATCTAGGGGACATGCACACAGTTCACCCACCTCACACCGGGAAGTTCTCTACCATCTTGGAAGGTTGGGACTGAGCAAAGAGTATTTTATGTGAAACATTAGAGGTGGATTTGGGGGCACTTTTATTACCCTTCATCTACCGACACTGAGTTTATACTTTTCATAAATTACCTTATCCAAATTGATCTTTGAACAGATCCATATGGTAATTCTAGGCAGAATTATGATCACCCATTTTCCAGGCAAAGTAAATGAGAATCAGAGGAACTGCACAGAGTCATGCAGAACCAGACACCAGAGCCACTGGTTTGAAAGTGGGAATCAACTTCCTAGATAGCCTGTCTTTCAGCACACCTTGCCACCTCCCCAAAGCAAAACTAAAGGACAGAATTAGCTCCCTTGAGTATGGGGGATTAGAACTTGGTTGCTTGGACTCCCTTTTTCCCTGTGACACAAGGACATGGACAGAGGGAAGGATCACGTTCTTGTCCCTTTTACCTCTCCCTTCCCACGTGTAAACATGGGGCATGACCAGAACTCCTGAACTCTTATCTGGGGGCAAGAATCTCTGCTGAATATCTGCAGCTGGTGAGCACTCACCAGGCCTCTAGGCCACCAACCATGCCTTCATGATAGAATAGGGAGAGAATCAAATTAACTACCCAAAGGCTACTACAAAGGTAAATCTACTGCCAGAATCGTGTGGAACACTAGGCACCAAGCCTTAGGACTCTTCAAGCTAAGTCACCATGCACTAAGATATCTGAGGGCAGATCAAAGGTAGCACTGCAAGTGTTTTAGGGTTAGGGACAGCCACTCTCCCAACACCCCACCCAGCAGCCCTGCAGTAAATGCCCATGTTCCCCAAGGAAGTCATCTACCAAACAGGAAGCCCATCTATCAATAGACACGAAAACACACTTTGTTACATGGCCCACACAGATCACGCTAAGTACAATTGCCTGAAAAACTCATGTGCCTACTCTGAATTCTCCTGAGAAGCCTCAGACCCTGGACTGCTTCTTTGACGACAGAGCTCTGCCTCATCTATATCTGTATCCTCCACACAGAAGTCTGAACTTAATAGGTGCTCAATAAACCTAAAAATGGAATTGTTGTATAGCATAGAGTCAATAAATAATGCACCCTTTGGAATAATCTAATCCAACATCGAAGACTCTCATACCTTTAAAAAGAAGTTCAATCCAAAGAAAAAGGCAAAGAAGGCATAGCGTTACCTCTGCATAGACATCACATCCTGAAATTACAATATTGGGCCTGAAGTTGGTCGCTTTAACTTTCTTCTCTAGCCTGGAGTTGAGATCCGCCAATGATGCCTCAGAAAGGATCAAGAATGGGCTGGCATCTGAGTAAGCAATCTGATAAGAAACAGAAATTGTTATAAAATGTGGCACATAAACTTCTCAGAGGTTAAATGTGTCTAGTTCCTGGAAATCCCTACCCAATCCCACCCCACCTCACACATGCAATCTTTCTAAATATATCTCTGGTTCTTTTTATAGAAAAGTCACAGTAATTCAGAAGCTTTAAATAGGCTTGCAGATAATAGTAACTGCATGGTGGAGTGAAGACAACTTAAGGCCTCAGAATCCTGGGGCTGCCACTAACCATGTGCCCTTGGGGACGTCACTTCACCTTTCTAAGCCTCCAATTTCTCAAATATTAAATAACATGGGTTAGGCTTGATGACCTCATTATGTTTGATTAAAATGTTCACTAATCCCAAGGAAACTTATTTTTTAAGCAACTTGCAAATTAACGTTAAGAATATATGTTGACCCTAATTTTTTTACGGTCATGGTAAAAACTGTGTGGTTTTTACCAACCCTACTTTTATGATGAATCCTTACTGCCTTCTTCCTTTAAGGGTGAATTTGATCATTTGAAGTCTGTGGACGCCCATACCCACACCAATTTGCACAACTGTAATCTGACACACAATTGCAAACAAACTGTAAAAAATAATGTGAACTTCGAGTGTAATTACAGAATGTAGTGAAAAAAAGATACTGACAGTCGAACAGTTTTGAAACTTTCCATGGGACAGGCACAGTGGTTCATGCCTGTAGTCCCAGGACTTTGTGAAGTTGAGGCTAAAAAATTGCTTGAAGCTAGGAGTTTGAAACAAGCCTGCGCAGTGGAGTAAGAACCTGTATCTACCAAAAACAAACAAACAAAAAAATCAGCCACACTTGGTGACATGTCCTCTTGGAAGGCTGAGACCAGGACACCGGCTTATGTCTAGGAGTTCAAGGTTGCGGTGAACACCACCGCACTCCAGCCTGGGTGAAACAACCCTATTGGCAACAGAATGCTTACACAAAAAGGAAGATAGAGGCTCAAGGGCAAAAACACTTGATCCCCAAATCAAGAAATACAAATAATGCTCCCATGGGAAGGACTTCATTTCTGCCTGGTGTTTGTGATCTGTGTTATCCAGGGCTCCCTAGTAAAACAACAGCCAGTTCATCAGAGATGCCAACCGGCTGGGTGAGACTGATGTCCTGGTGCAGAGGCAGTCGCGCCTCTCACCCGGTCTTTGAGTCGGAACACGTCCTCTATCTGGTGAGGACTTCTCGGTCGCATGTGAGGCTCGAAGTGCACCAGGCGGTAGGGCTGCGTCTTCAGGAAGCTGGTTATCCACTGCGCAGCGGCCTCGCCACAGTCCCTGCCCTCGATCTCCAGGCCGTGCACTCTGCAGGGATGGCAGGAGCAAAGGACGGGTATGGCTTTGAAAATCCGCACACCCCTATATGTTTCCAAGCTATGATTACTGTCATTCCTTAATTATCAGACATAGTTTTTTAGTCCTGGCCCTGTCTCTGAACCACTGTGTGAGCCCACATGAAAAAGCCCATTTTAAGCCTTGCTTTCCCCATTTTTACAATCAAGAGATGCATCAGTGTGTCCCTCTACCTGGAGGGAATGGAGGGAGGATGAAGTGAGAGAATATATTTGAAAATGTGCTGATTTGAGGAAAACTAATGTATTAGTATAAAGCAAACATAATCACTGCAAAATCTGGCTCACACAGCTGAATAGTGACCAGAAATCTTTATGAACAAGTCTGGCTGTATTTTTGCCAGCGTAATGATAACAGCAAACAGATGTGAAAATGTTCTATAAAATCTACTGGACTTGACTGCTGGTTACGGACTGTTTGGCATTTTATGAACTTCACAGCTGTAGAGAGAAAATAAATTCTATAGTGTAAGTCATTGTTTTCCAAAGTGGAGGACCTTTACCACTGCGGGTTTTCAAGATAACTATAGGTGGCACCTAGGTATAGCATTAAGTAATGGAGAATGGCAGAGAGATTATTATTTTCAGTTTAGCAATATTAAATCTTTAACCTTTAGCAACACTTGATAATCACCTTTTAACAAAGAAAGAACAGTCCTCAGGTTCAGAGACCTCTGTAGGCAATAGTTTCTAACTCGAATTTGGTAACATTTGTGCCATATCGAGTGTTTCAGTTATCTTCTACACCCAGCAAATTATATACATAGCCATATAGAGTTTTCTTTTTAAATAAATGTATTTAAGACTGGTAATTAAGCTGAACCAATTTAAGGAAAAATATTAAGTAAATAAGAGAAAGGTGGTTTGTGGTTTAGCCTGTATCGTGGCCATGTTATCCAAGTACCTGAAGTTTGGGAGTTAGGTAGATATACTTGGGCATACGTTGTTTCCACAAATGACTAGCTCCATGACTTGGTGATATTTTGACTCAGTTTCTTCACCAATAAAATGGAGATAAAAGCAGAAATTTGTTGAGGCAATTAGAGACAATCTTTAAGAAGTCCCCAAAACAATTCTTAGGATTAGGATATGCTCAGTAGATGGTAGTCATTACCCAAGGGGTTTTAATCCTCAGTTATTTCAAACTATCTTTGTGTAGTTATTCCATAAATCAAATATTTAATTGTACAAAAACACCCATTGTCTAATAATAGAGTATAAATGGATTTTTATACTGTAAAATACATTGAGTACAGTATCCTATATTTGCATATAACTTTATTTAATTGTTCTTTACATGAAATGAGAAATTATTACTAACAGCATCTGGGTGAATACTTTAAGCAGTGAGATTAGTTGTACTCGTTTTCATAAATTTTTAAAAATGTTTTATTGACGTATAATAATCATATAAAAAGTGCCTGCCATAATATACAGCTTGATGTATTTTTATACACTCCCACCCCACTCATTCTAAATTGACCTCTTGAGAGTCAAAAGGCTGAAATACGCACACAAGACCTATGGAGTAATGAGTCCATTTATTCACAAACACCAGGAATGTGTGTCTTATTCTTTTCTGGATCAAGATGAATAAGTAAAATGAAAAAATAAGCATGTCCAAATGCACATGCCCAAACGCATACATGGGTACTACCTGTCAAAGTAGTCACCTACTTTGCAACATAATCTTTCTACCCTAATATTAATCATATCTACTTATTACTGCTTTTCAGCCTAACCTTCTTTTTTTAAATCAAAAATTGGTCCTGTGTAGGCTGATTGCCTTCTTATTCACTGGACTTAGCTTCAAATGACTATTTTACTTTTTCCAAAAACCACATTCACCATAAGAGGGTGAAGATTTCCAGAACTGAGTTTGTATAAGAGGATTACCGGTGGCTCAGCCTGTAATCCCGCGCCTTTGGGAGGCTGAGGCGAGTGGATTGCCTGAGCCCGCGGGTTCGAGACCCGCCTGGGCAGCGTGAGACCTCATCTCTACAATAAATCAAAAATCAGTCGGGTGTGGTAGCGCATGCCTGTAATTCCGGCTATTCGGAAGGCTGAGGTGGAAGGATCGCCGGAGCCCAGCAGGCGAGGCTGCAGTGGCCGGGAGCGGCCACTGCACTCCAGTCTGGGCGACCGAGTGAGACTCCAACTCAAAAAAAAAAAGAGGGTTACCCTCTGTGTGTTTATGTACAGTTTAATATGTAAACAAATACATTTCAGAAGCATCTTGGTAACAGCAGCTAACTAAAATCTATGTATGGAGACAGCCTTAAAGGTCACCTCTTTGTTAGATGCCTCTTTGCTGGTGCCTATGCAAAAATAAATAAATAAAATAAAATCAGCCTCCTTTCCCCAGAGTCAAGCCCTTAGAGCTAAACCCAAGGCCCCCCTCAGTCCCATTCTGCCATTCAGCAGTCCAGGACTTTCATAGTTGCTTTTACAGGAGACTAGGAGGACACGCCAGCAGAGAAAGTGGACAGAAAGGCTGCTTAAATTCCTTAGGGCTTCCGGTGACAATTATCCTTACTGAGTTATAGTGTTTGCATTTATCTTGGGCCACTTAGTCTGCCCTGTTGACCTGACACTGATTTCCACTATAACCTCTATGTGGAGGTCCTAGGTTTTCGATTCATAACCACCTAGAACTTGAGGCCTTGCAATGAACAGAATTTGTTTTCTGTCTTCTTCCTGCTCCTCTCTTAGCTCTCCTGAGTTCTGAATAGCCTCAGCTGTATCTCGGGCCCAGCATCCCACTGTCCCAAATAGCACAGAAAAATAATTATAAATGCTCCTAAAACGTTTCACAAAGATAATATACGCCCGGTTTGAAGCTGTGTACCTGAATAATCCATTTAAAAAGGTCCTGACTGGGCACAGTGGCTTGCATTTTTAATCCCAGCACTTTGGGAAGCCAAGTCTGGAGGATTGTTTGAATCCAGAAGTTTGAGACCAGTCTAGGCAAGACCCTGTCTCTACAAAAAATTTTAAAAATTAGTCAGGTATGGTGGCCCATGCCTGTAGTCCCAGCTATTCAAGAGGCTGAGGTGGGAGGATCACTTGAGCCCAGAAAGTCGAGACTGTGGTGAGCTATAATCATTCATGCCACTGCACTCCAGCCTGGGCGACAGAGTAAGACTCTGACTCAAAAAATAAAATAAAATAGCCATACCATATTACTCTGTGTCTCATTAGTAACAGGCATGGTTTGTGAGAAGATCAAGTAATACCAGCTGTTATCATGATGTTCTGAAAGTAACCCCAGAGCCTAAAGTACTCATCAGAATCTTTAGGAAACTATAAGCTGAGGTTACAACTCCTTCACAAGAGCACAGCTTGGGCTACCACAAGAAACCTGAGTCTAGATGATCCCTGGAATCTTTGCTCGAAGAGTCTGTGTCCTACTATAGCATGTCTAAGCTTTCTAATTTTGCAGTTTCCAAATATGCCTTGGTTAGTCTTTGGAGCATGGACCAAATGCCCATATGGGACTGTGAAGAATGTTTACACACACCTGTAAATGAATTAAAAATTAAACCCCCCAAATGTAAATATAACAAAGTCCCATGGGTAAATACCTAACCAGGGTAAACAAACACAAGCTAGGATATGGACAAGCATGAAATACAAATTGCAATAGGCTTATTAAAAAAGCTGACTTCAAACAACAAAAAATATAAATTAAATTCACAAGAAATTATCATTTTTGTCCATTAAAAATGGCAACATATTTTTGAATATAATGGTTAGAAAACAATTAGACAAGTATGTTTGTAAACTGATGACTATATAAGTTGGTAAAACCATTCTCCAAACAATTTAGCAATATATCTCCAAAGTCTATAAGATCCATACTCTTATTTCAAACAAAACTACTGCTGGAATTTTTCCCTAAGGAAATAATAAGAGATATGGACAAAGATTCATGCCAAGATATTTGGCACATTTTTCTTGTCATACTTGGAAAAAAAAACTGAAAATAATCCAAGTGTTTAATCATGGGGGCATGTCAAAATGCATTCGAGGACACCCACAAACTGAAATATTATGCCAACATGAAAAGTGATATTTCTGAAGATTTTTTAACAATATGAAAAAATATTCAACATATCAACTTACATATATAAATAGTATTCGAGACTTTAGGGGTTTTTTGTATTATTTCAATTTGGTTTTAAATGTAGTACCAATAGAGACAGGAAAATATATGCGAAAATATTAATTATGATTATTGTAGATGGTTTTTTTGTTCCTCCTTTTTATGGATTAAAAAAGTCCACTTTTTCAACAATAAATATGTGTTACTTTTACAATCAGAAAAATCACCAAGTTCAAATGAAAACTTACTATGTTTAAAACTCTAAGATACAGAAATTGTAGCACTGTTGCATTTTTCAGTCTTTAGACATTTTCAGGTAACTGCATTTCTTGATTTGATGTTATTTTCTGTGAGAGTCTCAGGACTATATTTAGCTTTGATGCTGATTTTAATTCAAAATGCAGAAACTGAAACAAGAGTATAATTGGAGTAACTTTAATTTTCCTACAAAGGATAAAAAAATAATCTCTAGATATGATTTCTCTGAGGCAAAGCTAGATTTCCTAGAAAAATAACTTCCTTGCGACCCTTCTGATGTTGAGGAAAGGGCTTCTGTACAGAACACGCTCCTGGGCCGAAGCTCCACTTGCACTCTGCCACCAACCACTGGGCAGCTGCAAGTCAGATCACTCTGGTTACTATTCTGGTTACTGCTGTTCTCTATTTTGGAACTTCCTTTCATTAGAACTAAGTATCACAGGTAACAGTCATTTGCATCTCCTTTCCTAAGGAAGTTACCTAGTTTTCCAAGCAATGTAGGAAAAGCTCCATGAGACTATGGAGATCTAATGTCACCTCTTCTAAAACACTCTCTCCCACCACTCACACCCCAGTTGTGTGCTTGATCCTTTGGTGTTATTTCTCTCTGGCATGTCAATATACTTGTGTTCCCATGGTTTTCTCCAGAGCGTTTTTGTTTTTCATCCCCACAACTCAAGCTTCTGAAACTGTTTCCCTGTTTTTCCTTCTTTTAGATCTGTATAATGCTAAGGACTTGGCCCCACAACCGGTGAGTTTGTAATCAATAGTTAATTATGGATCATGTTTCTCAGGATTCCCTCCATCGTTCACGCTTTCTCAAAGTTGCATGACTATTTCTTCACACAAGGGCTAAGACCTTCTCTCTCCTTACCTGCACTTGCGCACTGCATTTGTGGTGGGCGTTTTGATGGGCAGCAGCAGGTCCTTTGTGTAGGCTGCACTGAGAGTCAGGGAGTCACCATCACAGGTCAGGGAAATCAGGACCAGGCGAGGTTCCTGGCGAGCCGTAACCATGTTTCCCTCCTGGTTGATCACCAGCCAAAATCTGCCATTTTCAAAACATAGGATATGCGTGGACTACCACAATAGGCAGCCGAACTTTGGGGGAGCTTCAAAGACACTGTCATCTTTGATTTCCTCCCTGTAAGCCTGATGTGTGTGAGTTTGGTGGGATGTGTATGTGTCGGTCTGTCTGTCCTAAGCATCAACTCAGCAGCACGCAAGACTGAGTTTGTCACTTAATTTCAAAGGGTTTAATAACCACTCAAGCATCCGACATTTAATATCTGCAGAACATTTCAATCTCCTTGATGGCACGGATATCAAAGATGTTAATTATATTTTCATCTCAAATGCCAGAAAGTCTGATCACTTTCATTAACCATGCTTCAAGGAGATTATAAGAATCTTATTTCATAGGAAGACTTTAGGACATTAAGAAGCACAGCACCTGGTAACCAGTAGGCAATGGGCTCTTGTCGACAGAAATAATGACAGTTGCTAGTGCTAGTATTGTTCACAGAGCATGGAGTTAAGATGAGCAGTACACAGTGCCACTTACACCTTGCGAATTCCACTCCTCTATCTTTGAAAAAATGTTATGTTTCAGTATTCAGTGCTGTGGATTCTGTAATTTGCTAAACTGGACAACATTTTTTCTAGTCTAGTACTCTTAGTCGAGAGGCATTGCCAAGAGAAAAAGATAAATGGAGAAATAGGAATAGAAAGAATCATTTCCAGAAAAGTAACAACACATTTGTTTAAGTTACCTCTCAGCTACTAAGGAAGCAAAACATATTGGCTTTTCAATCATTTCAGTACACACTGATCAAATGATTACATTTACAGAAGAGAACTTGTGCTTTCGAGATTCTCAAACATAAGAAAAATACAGCAGATATTTTAGGTCATTAAAGATATTTTTTGCATCATCTCCAGCAGGTTATCATGATTGAGTTGTTCATCTACACCAGAAAAATAATGGCTCAAATCATCCCTTCCGCCTGCACACTGACAGAGCCCTACCCTGTCCCCAAACCTCAGGTCAGCACATGAGTACTCTTTCTAATAATTCTCCCTGATAACAATGGCAGTCTGATCTTTCTAAGATGCAAATCTAATCTTATCATCCTTTCAATCAAAATCTCTTCATGCTTCCTGCTTTCAGGATAAAACCAATTCTTGAGTAAGGCATGCAAGGTCCTTCATAATTCAGCTGCTTTTTCAGCCAGTCTTACCTCCCCATTCCTTCACACTTGCCAGTCTTTTTATGTATATATATATATATACATAAAAATGCCTCTGGGCCTACAAAATATATATATATATTTTTTTTTTTTTTTTTTTTTTTTTTTTTTTTTTTTTTGTTCGCGTTAGAGTCTCACTCTGTCACCCAGACTTGGAGTACAGTGGCCACTCCCAGCCACCGCAGCCTCAACCTGCTGGGCTCCGGCGATCCTTCTGCCTCAGCCTTCCAAGTAGCCGGAATTACAGGCACGCGTTACCATGCCCAGCTGATTTTTTTTTTTATTTATTGTAGAGATGAGGTCTCGCCAAGTTGCCCAGGCGGGTCTCGAACCCACGGGCTCAGGCAATCCACTCACCACAGCCTCCCAAAGGCGTGAGATTACAGGCTGAGCCACCGAGCTCGGCTTTTATGTACATTTTTAAATGGCAGTAAAATATACAAAACATAAAATACCTAGCCTTCTCCTAGGTAGAGACACAAAAGAATTAAAAACAAGGACTCAGATACGTGTGCACCAATGTTCATAGAAGTATTTTTCACAGTACTAAAAGGTGAAAACAACCCAAGTAAGTGTCCATCAACAGAGAATGGAATTTTTTAATGGTTTTTAACCAGTTTGAAGTGTACAATTCAGTAGCATTAAGTACACAGTATTGTGCAACTACCACCACTATCTATTTGCAAAACCTTTTCATCAGCCCAAACAGAAACTCTGTACTGATTAAGCAATAACTCCTAATTTTCCCCTCCTCCCAGCCCCTGGTAACATTTAATCTACCTTCTGTCTCTATGAATTTAACTATGCTAGATATTTCATGTGATTGGAATCATGCAATGTTTGCCCTTTTGTGCCTGGCTTATTTTAATTAGCATTATGTTTTCAAGGTCCATTCATGCTGTAGCCCGTCTTAGAGCTTCATTCCTTTTTTATAACTGAATAATATTCCACTGTGTTTAAACACTTGGCCATCGATGAACATTTGAGTTGTTTTCCCCATTAGCTATTGTGAACAAAGTTGCAATGAACATTCGACATTCAATGCTGCAAAGCACATTTATCCTATTCAAGAACCTGTTTTCAATTAATTTTGGTAAATATCTCAGAGTATACCAGCCTTTTCCTCAGCATACCCCAGCCTCTGAAGTCCAGTGTCTTTGCCCAGTTTACTCCTTCTCTCTAGAATGTTCTTCTTCCAGCTTACTTGCTGGAACTCTTGTAATCATTTTCCAATTTTCAACTCAAGCTGTTATTTCCTCTGTGAAGTCATCCCTGAGTGCCCAGATAACTTCCAGTACTGCATCCTCTGTGCTCCCTGGCACCTGTCACAACCTCCACTGAGTAAGTTATCACCTAGGATTTAAGCCTGTAATGGCTCCTCTTGGGGGTGTGTGATGACAAAAATAAAGAATTTATCATAGTGTCTCATACAAATGCCAGCTCTTCTTGCTACCTATTGTAATATGAGCTCAATAAATGCTTTTTTAATTGATATGGTAAAATTGCAATGCCCTTTGCCTCTGGGCCTACAAAAACAAAGAAATTCAGTAAAGTCTACCATCTTTCAGAGCCTACTGAACAAAACATGCAATATGTAGGACTCTTGGCTTCCCTCCTGAAGCAAAGGTGCATACAGCTCACCTTTCAACTATGTCCCGAATTGCCCACTGTCTGGAGAGCTGGTAAAGGAGAGCTTACAGTCCCCATCGTCCTGTGTTACTTGCTGAGCTGGAAAGGCTGCTCTTGGAAGAAGGAATGTGAAGTGCAGCCTCACAATGAAGCCGGAGATGGCCTGAAGCCAGATCCAAAAGAAGACAAAGCAGCTGGCTCTGGGGTTTTGCAAACTTCGCTCAACCCCAGCAATCACACGGCTCTCAGAGCCCAGATAGGGAATCAATAAAATCACTATTTACAAAGCCCCAGTGTGCTAAAGAAATCAGGAGTCCTGGTTCCGTTGCTGTGTGGATCTGAAATCAGTTATCTACAAGACTGCTTGAGAGAATTAGGGAGCACAACAAACTCGTATACAATAGCACTTCTAAGCGGCAAGAATTAATCAACTGCTGTCATTATTATTATATTCTCCGCCTTGGTGCGCTCTTTGAGGGTTGATCTCTACTACAACTTTCCTCCAAGATCCCAAGAATGTCACTAAAAATAAAGCGACAGGGATCACTCCCTTGGGAAGCTTCCTCGCGCACCGGCAGACACCTGGGGAGGGACACCACACCTTTGCAGCAGCACATGACGCGAAAGAGCCGGTGGAAGGTGGAAATACGCCCATCTCGGGAAAGCGGTCCGGACGCTGAGGCTCAGAGCCCCAGGACCCCGGGTGTGATGTTGGAGGGTGAGGGTCACTTTTTCTCTTTGTCCTTGTCTTACTCAGCTCCCAGTTTCTTTGTAAGAGGAGGAAGGGTTTGTTAGCAGACTCTGCGCCCCCCTCCCAACGTCCCCCGCGGGATCAGCGCCTCCCCGAGCTCGGGCTCGGCGGTACCTGTCCCGCAGGTGGCCGCTGCGCAGCCCCACGGCCGTGCACTCCGCCGCGCTCACCGGCACCCCCTTGCAGGACTTGACCGGGTAGATCCAGAGCTGCGCCACGCTGCCCACCTGCTGCAG